CGGTCTATACATTTGAATTATAAATAAAATAAAGTGCAGCACATTAGAGGCACCTCAGTGGCCCAGAGGAAGGGCCCCCGTGAGCAGAAGCAGAGGACGCTCCTCCTGTGGCACCGTTGCCCTCCAGCCGACCCTTCCCACCCAGCCTCACCACCCAGCCAGACCCTTAGAGGCACACCCTCGCTCTGCTCCAGAAAAGGGCCGTATGGGAAAGAATAGGCAGAGGGTTTTTTTTTCCTTTTGTAATTGGCTTTATTATTTTGTAAATGTGAATTTTACAAAGCATATGCCATTAATTATCACATTTTTAAGTGGATTTTTTCATTCTGTGAAACAACTATGAGCACACTTTGGAGTCTTGGGAGTGGGGCAGGAAGGGGGGCCTTGCAGCCTGACCCCCCATTCCTGTGTTTCAGTTAAAGACAGACCTATTATGTCAGCCGTGGCTGCAAAGTAACAGTCTTAAGCAGAGACAAGAAATGGCACATAACAACAAATGCATAAGCAGTTAACATTGTGTCGCTAAAGCAGAACTCCTCAGCACTGCAAAGGCTTCCCGGCAGCACCGGAGTCTTGTCTTAACAGTCATAAGTTACAGTACTACAGAGTAGTTCAACACAGTCTCTAAGAACAGCCTTCTTCTTTTAAGACTTTTCTCAGACAAGCCAAAGAATTAATGCTTTATTTGAATCAAGTGCCATCCGAACATTCAAGTCAAAAATATAACCTTTATGCTTAGGCTTTATTTGTCTGTATAATATGTATCACTTAAAACAGTATTGCAAGTTTTGGCTCCCCCCCCCTTGTCTCGTACACAAAAGCCACCAAAGTGCAAAAAGATACAGTGGAAGAAACTGACTGAATTGTCTGAAAAATCTCCGCTTGCGTGCTTTAGGCATGCCGGCGCATTTGCCTCCCAAACCCTGTGCATCTTTGGGGATGAGAGGAGGGAGCCTCTGGCAGTCAAGAAGGCAGCTCTGCTCCGGGGACAGGAGGACACGTGTCAAGTCCTTCGTACAACACTGGCGCAGAAGCCAGGATCTCCCTGCCCAAAGGCAGCACCCCCCACCTGTCTCAGCTGACACTGTGGCATGAGCCTGCCTCTGCGGGAGTTCCCACAGCTCCAGTACTATGGGGCCCTGGGAATCATGGTGCAGAGCACACATCTGTATGTTGG